CACCCCCGCCACCGCTCCCCATCAGCCCCGAGGCTCTCCAGCATGGACAAGCGGTGGGACATGGCCCTGGGACAAAGCTCCTCTGCTCCACCACTGCAGCGGCAGCGGGAAGCGTGGCCAGGCACAGGCTTACATGAGCAGGGAGCAGGGGCTGGGGAGAGGTGGGGGGGTCCCTCCCCACCCCTGGGTGCAGGCTGCACATCCTCTGCACACCGTGCCACAGCCACGTCCCCTCCCCGTCACGGAGTGACTCTCCCATTGGCAGCACAGCTGGACCGCCCAACACTTCCGCAAAAAATCATTCCAGCGAGAAGAGCCATTTTCACACCTGGCTGGCCTCCCTCGGCCAGCATTTCAAATCCATGGAGCCGGTGACCGAGCAGCTGAAAGAGCCGCTCTCTGTCACCATCACAGCAGAGTCAGATGGGACTGGCAACATCCATTCACATCAGAGTGACTCCTCATCTTCCACTGTGAATGATTCCCAGGGACCGTGCCAGCCCTTCCACGCGTAACTCAGCACTCCCCACCCTGAATCCTCCGACTCACCAAAGGCTGCTCAGCCGTTGCCTCCTCTGCAGTGTCCCCACGTTATGGCACCAGGCCCAGCTCCTCTCTGTCCACCTTACTCTCCCACTTCAAATGTCTTCCTAAAATTCTCCTCCGCCACCCTGGCCAAGCAAACCAACACCGTTCCCTGCGCGGAGCTCCGCTCTGGCTCCGATCTCTGGCTGTCTCTTGCTTTGCACCCAAATGCTTGAGTCGGGACCTGCCCCATGTTTCATAAGCAGCGTGCCTGAAGATCCTAAACAGATAAAGCAGTTGAGCAAATATGTGTCGTTACCTTCAGCAGTGCAACCTTGTCATCTCTGGATCTGTGGGTCCCAGATCCCCAGGCCCCAGTAAAGGCTAAGTGTTGTTTAGTCTTCTAGCAGGTAGGGAAAAGCACCAGCACCATTAAATCACCTCGGACAGTTGCGAGCTCCTCTAGCCACCCTGGGGCAGGGAGCAGGAGGAACTTTTCCTTTCGCTGAAGCCAGCGGCGACGCTCCTGCTGAGTTCGGGGTTTGGGGTTTCCCGTGTCGGTGTACACACAGCACGGCAGCTCTTTCCCAGCCTGCAGTAACAACCATTTTCACCGCCTGGCATTCTTCACTGCAAGACCCCATCGGAGCACGTCCCATGGGATGTGTCCTCTTCTTCCAAGAGCAGCTCCGTGGCCTGAGCCCTCGTCCCAGCCCTACTCTGACCGCCCACCTCTCCGCCAGCTCCGCTCCATCGCAGCTCCACACCACCACTCCCCAGAGAAGCTCTCCTGCCCCTGGCATCCC